TCAGACAGCTAAAATAAAATTATTTTGAAAGGCTGCATTTCTTTAACATCTTTCCCCAGAATATCTCAAAATGCTTTATGAAAAATAACCAAGCTTTTCAGTATGTCAAAGGCACTTGAGTATTTAAAGGGAAATCGAATCTGACACAGACCCTTCCTTCCTAGCCTAGCATTCTCTTGTCCTGATTCAATCCTCCTCTCTCCCGCTCCCCTAAGCTAACAAAACTTTAACCATCTGTGATTCACACCTCTCTTTAACAGCTGTATCTAACTAGTCTATTTCTTCTAAAGGCTTGATTACACCACACTCCACATAGCCACCAAAACCTGTGGGTTTTTTTTTTTTTTTTCCTTAAGTCTTTTTTTTACTTCCATACCTCTTTATCTTTCTGGTCACCTACTACTTATTCAATTCTCACTTTGTCATTCACTGAGCAAGTCTTATTTCCGCAGTATCTTTTTCCTTCTTCCTTCTTTGAATGACCTCTATTTCAATTCTACCCCCTTTCACTAGTCTTTTTTTTTTTTTTCACCCTTTGTTTCTTATTCTTTGGATTGCAAACTAGACTATTCCTTTGTATCTGTTTCCATTTTGCTTGAATCAAGAATCTGAAAATCAATTAGACTTGCTTTGAAGCAAATTTCATTTTTCTTCCCCTACCATTTTTCTTTTTGCTAATCAGTTTTACTTCTTTTAGTCAAGATTTATCTTGTATCTTTGAAATTCTGGTGAAGGAAAGCACCTTCTCCTTTTTCCAGCTGTTGAGTTTGGATTGGACAAGACATGCAGAAGACATCTCAAAGACAGAAAAAATATATGGGACTGAGAAAAAAAGGGGAATGTCTACATCTGGGTTTTTTCGCTGAATAAATGTTATCATCTTAACACCATAAAGACTATGGCATGGGAGCTCTCATTGCCATTCTTTGTACTTTGTTGGAAAAAAAAAAAAAACACAATAGCAAAGACATGTACTGATGCTGTTTTGAAACAAGAGTGTCTTAGTTAATATTTTTCACTCAGTACTAAGTAATGATGAATACAGTATGGATGAAAGCCTGTGGTGGTTCTGTCAGAGACACTGGGAAATGCTTTACACCCTCTTTACTAGAAGGGTTAAACAGCTGCCTAAGGCATGTTTTAGTAGCTGTACTACTTTTAAAATGCTAACAGGTATCACAGCAGTTGCCTTTCTCAGGAACAGTGTCAAAGGCTTGAGTCACTCCTTCAGCTGGTGCCCCTTCTCGGTGCTCCTTGCTGTCCCCTCAGCTCTCACCCACCCCACTGCAGCTTCCAGCATTTACTGATGATGACAGTGAGAAGTACAGAATATTGTTATTCGTGTCAGCAGTAATATAGTCTGAGATTCCTTTAGTCTACTAATTAATTTGGCAGCTAATTAATTCACTAATTTAATAAATGAGACTAGCCAGTAATAGGATATTTGAAAACAGGCATGTTAGAAAATTACTGATTTCAAAATACTGAATCAAGAAGCTGCTTCTTGCTCTCAAAAAACAAAAGCTGTACTACTTGGTGCTGGGATACTGACAGCGTGCTCTTGCTTTCACTAGCTTTAACGATTGGTTTTGTCTTTCTTTTCTTGGATATAAAAAATCAAGTATCTATGAGAGCAGCTGAAAGTACAGAAGATTAGTGAAGTCCAGAGTTTCAGCAAGACCATGACCACTTGGAACTGTTCTCTGTCTTGGTAAACAATAAGAATAGAATATTCTACCCTTTTACAAACTCCTGAACATGCTATTTTACCAACACGTGAAATATGAGCACCATCCAGTGGCAGAGGACGTAAATTGCATCTTATAGTTCAAATTTCCTCCTTTTTCCTCAAACCACAGAATCTAACTAGGCATTTAAATGTTTATTTTAGTTTTCCTGCTTTTAAAACTGGCATAAATAAATTTCTGTTAATTTCTTAAAGACGCTGTAGCAGTAGGAAGCTTTTTTTTGATTACACTGCATCTCAGCTGAACAGTGATATGAAGTCTTTCATGGTGGTCAATAGTTATGTATTTTCAGCATATCTAAAATTCCCTTTTGGAAACACATCCTTGGTTTCTTTGTTAGTGCTACCACAAACATAACTAATTCTTCCCTACTGGGACAAGACCACTGTTTTCCTTCCGCTAGCATGAGGATTCATCTAACACCTATCCACTGTTCCTCAAGAATACGCTTGTGATCGTTAATTTTTTTTTTGTTAGTCTACCTTTTTTTTTTTCCTGTGTTCTCTTTTTGTCTTTTCTGCACTAAAATTTTGATACACCAGAAAAGACTAAAAACAGGCAACAAGGCTGTATAATCTCCACTGTGCACTTCACTGAGTTTGAAAACCTTGATTGAAGAGTATGGAGGAAATGACAAACCCTTCGATTGTGCCACACTGATGCCAAATGATTCTGCTCCCTCTCTTTGGGGAAATCAGATCTCACGAACCATACTGGTTTCAGAAACCTTGGGCCTTCTGCAGTAAATTACATTAGAAATCTATTTGCACTTTCCACAAGGATGCTTTTGTTATTAGGCTGTTTCTGATTGTTAAGACTCAAATAGGATTTTCTTTAATTTTTAAGCATGACTGCCTTTTGCAATGAACTTCCCCTTAAAAAAAAAGAAGTCAAATTAATTGTGGTTATGACTGACATGACACACAGACATTCTAGCTTTTTAGTAAATACTTGAAACCTCTCTCCTACCTTCTTCTTTTACTTCTTTTTATCTGTACAGAAAGCAACTAGTAACTTGCTGTGAATTCCCTTGGTTTTAAGAGCAACTGTACATACAACTTCACACTTTGCCTCAGCTCTTCTTTCATTAATATCCAAGGAGGTGGATGTTACATTTCATGGCAATTATTTTTAATGCATTTAAACTACCAGATCTAGCTACTGTTCTGAACCACGCCTGCTTCTTTAGGCAGGGCTGACAGTGACTTTCAGCCCATCAGACCAAAGCAGGCTAAAGGAACTTCTGCACTTCAGGGTGTTCGACCACAGTTAAAATGGAATTATGAATCAAACACCTGGCAGTAGACAGGACATATATACTCAGTTTTCTTATGCCTGAAAAAAATTTCATGAAGCTGAGGTAAGACATAGTAATTGGAGTTATTAGGAAGCAACTGATTGAGAAGCAGCGTCTTAGATGAGTGGAAAATCTAAATACTCATTAGAATTGTTCAAGGAGAAAGGGAAAGGGCAGAAATAAGACATATATTCCCCAGCAGAGTAATCTCCAGCAGTCTGCTTAAGTAGCAATAGTCCTCTTTGTGATGCTTTAACCAGAAGTAGCTATTGCACTTTGATAGCAAGATCTGGCTCGCATTCCTTTTAACAGGTCTCATGTCGCAGTAGACATTTGGCCATCACTTCACGTTGAAAGTCAGGGTCTATATAACCACAAGCACTTCAAATCTACTTCAAAAATCTCTTCAGAAGCTGCCAGGTTAGAAATGGAAAATTATCTGGGATTATCCTCTTAAGACAAAATAATTATCCCTACGGAATTTTATCAAGTTGCTAAGGGTTTTAAGATTTTGTTCCTTTTGTTTGGCATAGCCCTCCCACACTTACACAGTCAGAATTGCATTGTTAAAGCACACAGCTTGAAACTTTTATTTACCTCAAATAAATCTGGTTCTTCATCTGATTTTGGGACAATTTAACTAGGTTCTGCCCTTTGCTTATTAGAGGTAGCAAATTTGGAATTTACAGCTAAATTTAAAGCTCTTTAAGGCAAGGAAAAAAACATGAATTAGCTTCCAGTGTACCATGCAAGTTTAGAGTGCTACATCAACTACTATATTCACAATGAAAGCCCTTTTCCAATAGTTTACTAAAATACCCAATTCAGCATTTTTTTCTCTTAAGTTCTTTTAGCATCTCTATTGAGACAGTAAATGCTACTCTTTCAGATAGTCCAGCTGAGGAAAATGCAGGCTGTTCTAATAAGTGTATTAGGAAAGCACAGAAAAATATCTTGTCAATCTCTTTATTCATTTTATTCATAGGCTAAAATGTAATGCCATACAGTTCTTAACAATTACTGACTGAAAAAAATTATCTGCATATAACAGGAGCATAACTGAAGGAAACGAATTAAAAAAGCCATCTTGCCTCAACTTTTGAAACGATTACATACAGAATAATATACATATTTACATTACAAGTATATTATATAAATATAATATATATGTAATTTTGTAACCACAATAAATATCAAGGTCTTTTTTTAGGCACACAGCATAGAAAAAAATGCAGAATCTGCACAATCCTTAAGATTCTTGGAGTGACTCACTCTAACATTGTTTTCACACTGAAAAAGCAAATATTTTACACAAAATATACAGCCACAGTTTATGCAGTCCCCAGTGAACAGGGAATTTTTCCTCGCCTTCCTGTAAGTCTACTCCTTGATTTTCTAATACTATTGCTCTATACAGCTATTACATAAGAAAATAGTTTGCAGGTTTGTTTTTTACTCAGCTAATAGCCTAAGTAATTATTGGTGCTAACAAAATAAGTACAGCATATCTACATAAGGTTTATACAAGTGTTTACACAAACACGCGTTTGGTGAACTACTTCTGAGCTCACTTTTAATACTGGGGAGTTAACCTGAAAGGAGAAAAAAAGGATTTTCAGTGATATTACCTCAGAAATATTTTATCACATGAGTGATACTTGGGCTTCAGAGACAGAAAGCGTTAAATTTAGAAATTAATTTCAAATATCAAATTCTTGGCTATGCTGGCAGATGTAGGCTGCCATTGATTTTGGATGTGTTCCCTTAAGTGCAAATGAGAACCCAGAGATGTAATCCAAAGGGAGTCTTCTCAATCTGTACGGAGTCATGACTTTTTAAAGACTGTCACTACGGAGCACCTGAGTTTGCACCCTAGTCAGTGAAGCTGACCACTGCTCCCAGGAGAGCCGTGACCAGTGAGAGAAGAGACACAGACAGCCTTTGTTTTTCTGCCGTTACAAGTCCGACTCCGGCATGTCGGGCATGTCGGCCATCAGGTACCCAATGCCATAGCGTCCATTGGGAGCAGTGTCCAGGGTCGGTGAGCCAGTCTGCTTGCGATAGATGTTTTTGCCAAAATTTGGAGACGGCACTTCACTTGGACTCTTCCCATGAATCAGACTTGTATTATCTCCCTCCAGATTAACAGGTTCCTTTATTATCCGTCCTCTTTTGTAGGATACGGAGGCCAAACTACCAGAGCTGTCATCAATAAGGTTGCAACGGCGCACCATGAAGACTATTGGGACTGGCAGTATGGCCAACACCATCAGAGATATACAGACAATCATTCCCCATGTTGGATAGCTGTGGAACTCCTCCGTAGCCTGAGCAATCCAAAGGAAAAAAACAATATTAAGATATCTTTACTTTAAAAAGAGCAAACCTGCATTCCTTACCAAGGCCTACAGTTTTCAAACACATGTTCATCCTTCTGCCACCTTGCGCCCACAATGTGGGCACCATTACTGATCTCAGACTTGAACAGACATGGAGATGTAGGAGTGCTATTTTTTAGCCAGTGAATAGAACCAAACCACTGCTCCACAGTTTCTGAGATGCTCAGAGCACACTAGCAGAGCCCAAATCAAGGTTTTGGCATACGGCTTCACGCTGCATTTGTCTGCATTTGTTCTCTGATCCTTTAAAGAATGTTCAGAACAGACAAGTGTGCATTGGTATCTGTAACTGTGCCTGGAAAATAAGTCCCTGTTCTGTAGGCTAACAGCTGGTCTAGACAGAGACAGTCTCAGGTCATCCTGCGGAATTGTTCCACTTAGTATAAACTTCATGTAAACTCTAACACATTTAGTGTGGGGCAGTGACTGCACCCCACACTTCTACTGCATCCATGAATCCCTGGCCAAAAGACCCAGTTTGCCTAATTTGATACACGGAAAGGAGTGGTATGTTTGGTATTCTAAGGTATTTCTCTTCCTGATTTTTGAGGGCAAGAATCAAACGTAACACCAGTATTTTTTCTGAGAATCACGAGAAAGTAGTAGTTGTTGTCTAGTTACAGGCAGTTGTTTACCTACAGTAAAACCAACCTCTTGTACTTACACTTTATCTCTCTTTGCTGTGATTTCCCTCCTGGCTAAACTGGACAATTGTCCATTCAGGGGGGGTCCCTGAGATTCGTTTCTTTGACACTTCACTCTCCCTATATTTTGTATGACAGGCCTGTAGAAACAGCTGAGGGCTGATGAGCCTACAAGGCAGCAGAACTCTTAGGAGTTGCCTTGACTGAATATCTTTTTGGAGCCAACATGCAGCACTGACTGCTGTACACACATACATTTTTTTACAAATCAAACATTTTTATCAGAGACAGATTTTAATGCAGCTGTTACCTACAATGTGATATGTGTTCCCAGAGGGGAAACTTTCTGACACGTCTACAACTCAATATTTAATTCCACATAAAACACTGACGTGATATGTGGAAGGATTTATTCAGTGTTATCACCCAGCTAGTTTCTGCAGTAAAATAAGATTTAATGGAAGTGAACAAACTCTCCCAAACTTAGGGATCTCTTCAACATACATCAAGAAACTAAGTCACAAAAAGCATGAAGGTTCATGTCAAGCAGTTATATCTTAAAGCAAAACTACTCAAAATTTAAAAACTGTTTTACATTAGTGTCACCTGAGATAAAAACAAGTATGTCATTATACTGATTTTTCATTTGCAATTGCAATTTTTTTGTCTTTTCATGTATTTCTGAAATACTTCAGATACAATCATGATGATGGGACCTGTTATATACGTACCGTTTCTTCAATCCAAGCATTGTAGCCAGGAGGACTTAATCCCATTTGGACAATGCTAGCCACCAGCAAACATAACAATACTAGGGGTGAAACGTACTTCCACATGTAATAATAATACTGGCTTGGAGAAAACCCAAGCATATCCTTCAGATCCTCCATAAATCTGTGAAGGGAATAAAAAGTTATTGTTAGCATCTACACTGAGATTTCAAGTACTAATATTGATACATAGCACCTAATTTGAAGGAAGAGACACACAGAAAAAAATGCTTATAAAGAAATGGCTGCAGTTTAGATTATTTGATGGGCTGAAAAATAGATCTTTCATGACCAGTTCATGACAAATGAACAGAAGGAATCACTACACAGTGCAGTGACATAGTGAACTCCTTGCTGGACCATGCTGGAAAGGTATTTAAACTCACCTTTCTTTGATAAGATTCTTTTTTACATCTTCTTATACTGTCTACTGGGTTGTTTACTAGGGAATGTGTCATTACTTTTGAGGACATATACAAACAGCACATTTACGCATTCTGCAAAATTAGTTTCAAACCCAGATGGGTGCTGCAGTGTAAAAAATAACTTTATGTATAAACTATGGCTTGCATCATGTAAGCTGATGAAATAAAACTTTGTGAAGTTTTAAATCTGCCTCTTTGTGCCTCAAAATTGCAGGCTATGATATTAACAATACTCTTACTCTGTACCCTTGCTGGAGGAGTATATGGTCCCAAAGTCAGTAGAAAAAGAGAGAATATTTTTAGAATTAATTACTCTGCAGTGTGCACAAGCACTGATTCTGTTTTAACTCCCTTGTGGTCCCACTCTCTTTTGAAATGTGCATCTCAAAAAAGCTCTTATAACAATAAATGTTTTTGAAGCAGTTACACATGTGAAGCTACTGCAATACAAAGTTTCATAAATTTTTTGGCTACTGTGTAGTTTGGGGTATTCTATCCTTTGTTTGCACTACAATGAAACACATTGTTAAAAGAAGCTGAATTTACAAATGGATTGTGCTCCCTATAGATAAGCTTTTCTTTCTAGGACCTCGAGCTCTTCATCCAGTTGAATGTAAATCATCTCCATCCTACTTATCCTCTTTTAAAAGCTACCAAGCTCCTTTAGCACTGATTCCAGCACAGAAGATTTTCCTTCTTGGATACAGGGTTTCACATGTTGTCTTTTTTCTGTCCTTTGCCTGCAATCCCTTCAGATGCAGTGTTGTTTTTTTTTCTATTGGATAAAAGACAATGTGTCTAGTAAGACCTATATATGGTCTTCATCTGTGGATAGGACCCCTTGGTGCTATCACAGCCCATGACAACCTGGTTAGTGATTCTGTCAGTTTCTGCAAACAAGCAGGCTAAGCTCCTGAAGAATGATATTTTGGAGACACATACATCAGAAGAAATACTAGGAATACTATAGAGGGATGTTCAGGTAGTCTTATGAATGAGAAATTTGGCTGTTAACTTTCCACTAGACGCTGTCAGCACACCTTCTGAAATCATGAATCAACTGCACTTTGAATCAGAAGCAAAGAATTACCATGCTTCAGCTATGCCTAAACACCAGCTTTCTCACAGGGAAATTGTTGACTTTTGGCATGTCTATCTCCCTTCCAGTGGAACTCTACCTAACTGGAAGTTACCAACCTGATAATCAGGTCATCTGTTTCAACTTCTGTATGCATGTATGAAAACAACTACATGCTGTTTTCAAGTCCATGTGATCAATTATAGGATTACATATGTGGCCTAAGTGGGAATTCTCCCTTAATGACTAAGTTAGACCAGGTACTACTTGTGCAGACCAGAAACAATGTCTGGAAACCATAAAATTAAGTTTTCTTATTATAGTTTCATTTCATTATGGCAAAGGACTCGCTGATTACTCAGATCAAACAAGTGAAAAGTCAAATTAAAACCCACCCATTCTATGTCACTCTTCTTGCATGCAAAAGAGTCACAGATCTCTACATTACTTCAGCAGGCTAGTATAGCATACTCTGATTTATCTCTGGATGGCATGAGTTATTTTTGATACAAAATCCTCTGTTCCTTAAGTGTGACACACTGATCTCACTTAGTGAAAACATTTCACTAATTTTAGTCATGAGGTGTAAAAAATGAAGAGGGGCTTGACTGTCTTTCAGCCATCACTGATAGAAAGTCACTTAATTCCACTGTCAACTGTGCTGCTTCCACATAAGTTTTGACCCTGTTCTTTTCTATCATTTCCTCTTATTTCCTCTGTCACAACTCCTGCAAAGAACAATTAATTGCTACAACACCTCAAGCTAAACCTAGTTCATAAACTGCAACTTTCTTACTGTTGCTGCCATAAGAGTTTGCTTTGTTCTTTTTCAGGCTTGCCTGGACACTGCAGGTCTGTTCAGAACACACATCTTCATCTGCTGCTTAGATCATGGTTGTTACTTCTTGAAATCTTTCTCTTGCTGTCTTATTTCTTTATAAACTCTTCATACATGCCCATCCAGCCTCCTTTCTAACTTTTGAATTTTGCATCTTTTACTGCACTCTCCTGTCTTTGGATCTTTTACAAGCACTCTCTGGGCTTCACCATGTCGTCCTGACACAGTCTTTCTTGCTCCAAGCCTGTTCTTAGAAACAGATTAGAGTCACATCCAGACTGACCGACTTGCTACTTACTTGTATTTATGTGTATGTTGCAAACAGTTTGTGCAATGTAATTAAAATAGTAATAATTATTGTAATGAACACTGTTGATACGGACAGAGAGATACATTTCCTTCACTTACTTGTCTATGCCATATATTCGGGTGACCGCAATATTCTCCAAAATGACCACAATAAGAAGGGGCAGAGTAGCTGAGTAGTCATCAAACATAGTCACAAAATAATTTCCAGAGCGCTGCACAAAAATCAGGCCAATAAAAAATGCAACTAAGCAGCAGATGACTGGAATAAAGAAATGTGAGATGTAATTATAACAAAGTTCCATAGACAGAAAATAAAGAGGCTTTGAAACAGCAAAGACACACTTTAACACATTATTTCATGTAATCAAAGTTGGTAACATTTTACTTTTTAGGAGTTCTCAGTTTTAAGCATATTAGAAATCCTACCTATTCCCTGCATAACAGAAAAGTTATGAATTAGAATTACTGGAAATGTCACATTACAGTAGTCCTGATTAATCAGCAGAGAATAATCAAGTAACTGTTTCTCATTGAACTTTTAACTTAATGTGAATGCAAGGCTAAAAGGAAACAGAACTGGTGAACTAAACATCATATCTCATGTTCCTTGTCATGTGTCGAGTTTTGCACTTGGGGAA